TGTCACTGATACATAACAGTTCATAAATCTTAATTAATATCGTTTTCAGATGATGGATGTGTTATGTTTGCAAAAGGTTTTTTTTCAAAGAAACTATCTAAGGTTTTCTAAAACGATTAAGAAAAATACTTTACAGTAAACGTGTTTAGATAAATTGTCATCATCCTATAGACGTGCACTTATGTATGTTACTAAGATGGTCCTGTGATTTGTATTGACACGAAAATTGACAAAAGCTCGTGTAAGTGAATGACAATATCATAATTAAATCCACAGCATCACGTATTTGCGTCCGTGACCGCACTTTATTTCTAATTAGCATCAAGCGTTATGTTTGATGTTCAAGCTGGGGTGTGATCTAAGTAATAATAGGGTATTCCAGGTCCATCTTTAAATGTGTGTCATTAATAAATCACGCTAACCATGGCGGGCCGTGATTGGTCGATAGTGCGAGGGCACCCCTAAACCATTGATATCAATAATACCCGTACCAAATTGTGTAATGAGAGTTAAACGCTCTGTGTAGTTTACTAAACTTTTAATGAGTCAAAAAATAAATTAATAACAAAAGATGATTTAAATTGAACTCTTGTGTGTTTTGTTTTATTAAATCGATCAAAGTTTTTAAAGGTCTTTAAAGTTTTAAATGTGTATTTTATCAAAATGATTACATCAGTTTTCTTCATTAATTGATCCTAGTGGCAAATATTTTGACCCTTTCAGATATCGATGAATTTTGATTCTGTAAGATAGGTACCTATAATACTGCGTTGTGTAATTTTGTAACTAATTTTCTTGGATATTCGCTCATTCGCAATCAGTTGCAATTAATAGAAAAAAGTACAACATACAAGTAATCGAGACTATATTGATGACAAGGATGCGTGGTCAGTTCAGTCTGCACATATTTGATGTACTTAAATTTGACTATTCTTACCGTTAGATAATTCCTGGCAATAAGTGGTGACTGAGTTTGTTCCGGCGTTTCTTCTCAGCACTTGCCATATGTTTGTCTCGAAGCGCTGGTAGGGCCCAAAAGATAAGGAGACCATGTAAAGTGCCCCATAAGGGCTACCTTTTCTTTTTTTTATTATTTTCTATTGACGTTCATAAGTGCCACTTGTGGTCTAAACTGAATAAATATTTTTGATTTTGATTTTGATTTTTTTGATTTTGAATAAAAAAAATTTTGGTCAGTCTAACCAAAATTTTTTTTAATTCCAAAACCACTTTTATTATTCTGCTTATTTTTACAAACTTACTAACTGATTGTGAATGAGCGAATATCCAAGAAAATTAGTTACAAAATTACACAACGCAGTTTTTCGCACGCAGCGCGATAGCTTGAGGGTTGCCTTTCTGACTGCAGCCATTTTAGAGATGCATCCTTTGTTATGCCACGGGGATCTGTGATCTACCCACCAAACAATGGATTGTTGACATGATGATACGCTAATATAGTTCTAACCATGGACCTATAAAAAAAGTCGGACGGAGTCTCATCAACAAAATACTGTGACATTAGGATACACCAGCTTGCCTGTACGTACAGGCCGGCACGCACACATTCACACCCTGTTACACCACTTCGAGAGCAAACTTCACACAGTTGACACATTTAAGCAGCGAAAAAACAACACGAATACGACATGTCTTGTGTGATGAAATTGTGTAAAAACCGTTCTGTTCGAACAAACAAAAATTAAGGAATCACATTTCACAGGTAAAATAATAATCCAATCACTTATTTCCCGACATTAAAATATTGAAATTAATTGAAATCAAACGTCATTCACTCGAAAAAATAATACGTCAAAGACCAGTGTTCTCAGTTATTTACGTGGGAAAATTACCCGAAATATGGGAAATTAATAATGATTTTAGGACTTTTTAGTTATGTATTACGCATACTATGGAAATAAAATAATTTATCATAATTATTGTGTTTTAATGGGATATATTTTCATAGGCAAATTTGATCCTTCCCAAAAATGTGGAACTGCGAAATTCAAATTTTCTTACATTGATTGCAAGTCAGTGTCAGGTTGTATGTTAAAAAATATCTATCAGAGATAATAATAATATATTGATGATGCATAAGATTATGATTATAATGTACACAAGATTCGTAATTTGTAACTGCGTGAATTATTTTTGATCAACATTATGTACATACCCTGACACACTGACTTGCAAACAATGTAAGAAAATTTGAACATTGAAAATTTCGCGCCTACCTCAACGCATACACCTTTCATCCTTTTAAAATGGCACGGAATAATTCTGTCTACATTTCCAAGTAACATCTGCCGATCTATGTTTTTCTTAAAATAAATGGGTAAAATGTTTTGGCTAACATGGCATCCCTAAATTCACTCACACAATAGACAAACGCCAAAATTTTGCGTCACAGTTTTGTTGTAGCGCGAGTTCCGTCCGCCTTTTTTTATAGGTCCATGGTTCTAACAATCTGCTTAGTTAAAAAAGAGTTTGTGACTCTATCTATTATAGGTAGACACGGGAAGATTCGGTTTAATTGCTGCCTGATAGTTTGAAATCATTTACATATAAATAGAAAAAAATGATGTGTAAACTTATCTTTACTCAATAGTACAATTTAAAATGTCCAATGCTAGATAAAAGCCTCTCACGGATAAAATAAAATCAAATATTTTTCAATATGTAGGCCCTTTCCAGGGCATTAAAGCTCATCCTAAAATAACTCGCTTTACTAATATTTCTGATGCTGAGAATTGGCAGAAGAAACTTGGTAATCTTTGTTAGTCTTCACAGCGACCAGATTTTCAATTTGATTAAAATTCTTATTTAAAAAAAATCGTTTTTCTTAAAATGAAAAATAACTTTTCGTAGACACCACAAGGATTCAAACCCGGGTCCTTATACATTCAAAGCGCCCATTCGGCCACGTCACTGGAACGCTTATGCAAACTGGATCATGAATATGAGCGCCATCTATTTGAAACGGCACGAACCCTCATCCCTCTGGTTCCCTCGGGAATAAAAAGCATGGAGGACGTTTCGGTGTGGTATGTGGTTGTATGAATGATACATTGGTGGCGCATTTAACTGAAGCTGAGCTCTTTTACTCAACTGCAGAATAGTTTATGTTTTTAGAGCTTATAGCTTTTGATTTAACATGTAGATTTTTTTTGTATTTGTAACTAAATATCGAGAGTCTAATTTTATTAACAAATCTTTCAATAAAGTCTCGGTTTGTGGCTATTGTTGATATCAAATAGGTGAGTTAAAGACTTTTATATTATGTATTCCTACATCTTTCTAGTTTTCAATTATTTTATTGGTCTATTGATTTTGGGCACAAATTAATGGTTTTATTATTCAAAGAATGTTTTCATTAGCCTAGTGTGTGTGGGTATTTATAGAAATAAATTATCAACGTACAGCAGCATATTACTTTATTTATACGTTAAATACGTCATCAACAAACAGCAAATACATTTACTTAATCAAATGCATTCATTAATATTCTAAGTAGTGGTAATTATTATTATTTAATAAAATTCTGAACAAGAAATTTACAACTTTGGTTCAAATTAATACGTATTAGAGTCTTATAAATTATAAAAAACAACAACGTAAAGTTTTCAACAATAAATGTTGAACAAAACAAAAAAGAAGATAACATAATAATATTATATTATAGAAAATAAGTACTTACAAAAACAAAACTTATCAATCAAAATATCCTAAATAAATCTGTCTTTACAAATTATAACAATTATCAGATTTTACATTACTTAAATCGAAATTTTACATTAATAATATAAGAATAGTAAAACAAAAACAATATAAAAATTGTATTAATAACGAAACCTACTAATAAGTTACTGACTCAAATACTAAGCTCTACCTGTTTGTTTTAGTTTTTGGATGTAATTTACTTTTAAATTGCATACCAATTTTAAGGACAAGTGGATTACAACCAGTGGACTAGACGTAAATGTACAAATATGAAGTGTGTTTCCTAATTTGATTTGATTGGAGTTCTAGATGGAAAACTAAAGTGAAAAGAAAAAGAAAAGTAATTCAATAATTATAGAAAATAACTAGGCAAACCCAACTTCAAATGGTAATTATGCCCAAAAACGAATCATATCGTTAATATCGCAATTGAACCCAGCATTTATTGCAAAAAGCTTTGTAGTGAACATAAATAATATTGCACATTTAAAAATTAACACGGTCATCATAAAGAGGATACACAGGTAGAGCAAAAATATGAAAAACTATGGCATTTGTGACCATTTACTGATAAAATAAAAGAGATCCATGTGCTGATTTCAAAAAGATAAACTATTTATTATGAAAGTAAAGTGAACATGACAACGCGCAGATTGTCCTTTTCGGTAGAGGATCGGGCACTACTAAGATAGGTACCAGCTTATTTATAATGTTATTATAAGGTAATTAGCACTTTTGGTTATCTATATCGATTAAATTAACCAGCTAAGGAAGCTTTTAAAACAATGCACTAACGATGTTTTAGATTTGCTTGAAATTTCTTGGGGTTCGAGAAGACAGAAATGTAGGAAACTGATTTCGATTAAAGGTAGGTATACTAATATTTGAAGTACAAAGGGAACTAAAATTTGATATGATAGAAATAAGTATATTGAAATTAATGTGCCTAGCTAACCAACCTACCATGGAATATCGATCTGGTTGTTAGGCTTTAATCAACCGAGTAGCTGACTTATCAGTGTGCTTACCATGAGTTTACGTTAGGTGTGCTCGCTAGCGACTACGTAAAAAAATGACATTAATTGTATGACATATTGTGCAGCGCCCCTAGCGGCTACTTTCAAGAAATAAAATCTTCATAGAGATTTTTGACGTACTCGCTAGCGAGGACACCTAACGTAAACTCATGGTAGGTGCACTGATGGATGAAGGGCACAATGTCACTATTAGGTAGATTGCATTCGAATGCATTGAAGTCGTGTACGTGTTCTTGGTAATATTCGTAGGTATAAGGGATTGGAAGGGATAGTATTGTTGTTGTACAATACACACGACGACAAGTTTATTGTACCTAGTGTTAATTAACTTAAAGGTACGAGTATACATATAGGTAATTGTAATCCTATTATATTGAAAACAGTAAATGAGAATATTAAGCGATATAAGATTCTTTAAAATTAGTACATACAGCTGGCGACTCACTATAGCATTCGCCGTGTAGGATTTATTACCTCCGTATTACTGGAACATCTGAAAAAGAGTGGAAGTGCAAGTGAAAACTCGCATGAGTAAGGTTCGCTGCACTGAATTACAGGATCTCATATTGTAACACACACGTAACAAATACATTTGAAATACACGCCAACCACCAGCTTATTTAATAAGTAAATTAAGTACATCTAATAGAGACACATCACACTCCGGCAAAGAAAGAGTCATACATGAGCATGAAATACAGAAAACATTCATGAGATAAAGTTGTTAACCCAAATTCTAGATGTTTGATTTTAGGATGTGACACATTTTTGCCGATTTGCGATGTGACCGTTTAAGTTACAGCCTAGCTTCATGGTGCTATGGGGCATTCCGTAGCCATTGGTATTAAGGCTTGGTATTTCTGCTAAAGTAGGTATTTCGCGCTGTCAAAATCTGCGCGCGCAATACTTCGCCGAAGACAGCGCGCCAAAGAGCTCTCGCGGCTACACAGTATAGAAATACGCAGTTTAGAAATACGCAGTTGGTTAGGTTAGGTTGACTTCCTTCCGTTCAAGCGTCACACTCACAGCACTTTTTAATACAAATCATATCCAAGTGATACAAATTAAAACAACTTTCAAAATTTTTGGGAATATATTTTAGAATCGAATAAATATAGAATATAACTGCCAAAGTAAACACGGTTCAAAGAGGCGTGGCGTCACCCGACCTTCCGGAAGTTCCGCGCCGGCTAAAAGAATTTCAAGATTAAGTCACCCGACCTATCGGTAGATCCTCGGGAGCTTGAGCGATTGGAAAAACATTTTATGATCAGTTACTCGTAGTAGCGATTATTTAGAGCTTGGATAATAAATTATAGTTCTTGCAATTCACGAAACTTTGCATGAGGTTAATTACATTAATCAGTACACGCATCAATTTTGTTCAGTCTTTTTGTTTATTAATAAATAAAAATATCATACTAAAATTGCATACATATTTGTTTGTATTGGTCTGGGTGTTTTCTTTCCATAATTTATGTATAACGTATGTACGGGGCTCTGTATCGAAATGAGCATCACACACGGTTTTTAAATGTTGCAAAATTTTTATAAGTCCATCGTGAGCAGAAATTTGTCCACTAATAGCAAAATTCGTTCAAATTATAGTTTTAAAGTTATTAGGAAAAAACAGATTTTGCTGGGGTAACGTTTCAAACATTACCCTGGCAAATTTTTTTTTTAAAGTCGTTCTATCCCGGAACCAAATACATGGATAGATAGCTCTTGTTGCGTAGTAATTTGTCCACGAATAGCAAAATTTGTTCGTGTTCCGGTTCTCAAGTTATTTAGAATTTTGCTGGGGTAATGTTTTGTGATGTCCCAGATCTCGTAAATGGCTCAACGCAGAAGTTTGAAAAAAATACCAATGATAGACCTTGATATTGTCCAAATTAGTTCAAACATTAGTCATTGATTTGAATGATAAACACCAGTGTAATTAAAAGATTTCGAAAATCAGATAAAACGTATTAATTTGTGAGTAAACCAGTACTCTTACAATCGAATAAAAAGGTGTAGCATGTACCCCTGGTACACCTTTATAACCACAGTAAAAGTAAATATAAATGATGTGGCTTTGCGCAAAAGAGAGATTCTTCTATCTTGCAGCTTAGACTTTTATTGCAGTATTTTTGGAAAACTTTTACGCATGTTGGAGGTAGGGACGCTCTAGAGACTCAAGTCTAGAAGGAGTCACATGAACTCCAAGTTTTAAATCCGTTGACATCTGCTGCATCTGCCATGTTTTTGGCTATAAGATTCTTCTATCTTACGGCTTAGACCTTTAGCTACAGACCTTAGACAGTATTTTTGTGAAAATTCTTACGCATGGTGGAGGAAGGGACGCTCTAGACACTCAAGTCTACAAGGAGTCACATCAACTCCAGTTTTAAATCCGTTGACATCTGCTGCATCTGTCATCTTTTTGGTTAGAAGATTCTTCCATCTTGCAGCGTAGACCTTTAGCTACAGACCTTAGACAGTATTTTTGTGAAAATTCTTACGCATGGTGGAGGAAGGGAGGCTCTAGACACTCAAGTCTTAATTATCAAAAATTTAAGCTTTCTCCAGTAACACTGATATTATTATACTGTGACTCATCAAAGTCATCATTGTCAAAAATATTGACAAATCGCGAACTGTCACGGCCAAAAAACTGACACGCGTCCGTCCTCCGTAAGCGCCACCGCGCGACTGATTGAGATTGTCCAAGCCGTCATGGACGATTTTTTCCACATTTTTTAACATAGTAACTAAATAAGACGCAATATAAAAATTTCATCCGTTAAAAGCCCTCAAGTTATTTCTGAACTTTAGTTTAGTAAAAGATTTAGAATCTCAAATCGCTTATTTTAAAAATAAAACCATAAATAGAAAACGAATAGAGGTAACTTTGGGAATTTATTCTATCGAGTCAACTTTATCAAATCGTGTTTCCATCCGTTAATAGCCCTAGAAAATATCCTCAACTATGCCCAATAAAAATCTTAGCCTTTAATTTTACTGTTTAGTACCTCAAAAATGAAAAATGAAAACCTCATTTTCGCCATTTTCTCTGCTACCCGGCCTTAAGCACAAACATAATCATGTGCTTATAACCTAATCGTTTATATTTTGTTAAAATGTATTAATAATAGAACTTTACACTAAAAATATAAATCTCACAATCACCATAGTCTAAAAAAATGTCCAGAGTATAAAAATCATCAACTAACAGCACTAAAATGACACAATGCTTAGAGCATAGGCAGACGACGGAGAACAAAGTTGTGCCAACTTGATTTAATCTTTGGGAAGGGCGCTGTCACTTTTCCCTCGAGAGTAAACGCGATATGCAGTCTTGGATCCCAGCATCCTGTCCAGAAGGCTGTGCTTGGCTCGTCTCCTCAGCGTCAGGACTTCGCGGCAGAGCTCGTGGAAAACTTCCCCCACTTGGTTGACCTGCTCTGCGGCAGCTACTTCGGCGAAGCTGCACTCAAAGTCCTTAGCCAGGATTTCGCCTTCTTCTGGACTAACCTAGAAAGAAAAAATGTGTTAGACCTCAAAACATTGCATGGATGCAGAATTTCAATGTTAGGGAACTACACAAAAATGAATCCGTCTTTGAAATCCGTGTTTATAGCTGTCCTTTTTTATTAGACAGAAGGGCACATAATGATGAGCTGATTGTTATGTACCGGTCTCAGCAGTAGCAAATAGTAGCAGAACATGGGCGCCGTGTGTAGTTGGATTTATGGTCTGTGATCGATACAGAACGTCTTCAGTTGCTAGGCTGTGTTACAGTAAAGTTCTTAAGTATGTTTCAGCTTGCTCCAGAAAATGCATGTCTTACCAACTAATAATATAATAATTATTGAATTATCCTAGTCTCTAATAATCACCACTCCATGAGGCTCTTATCCAGTAAGCTGCAATTGACATGGTATGGATACAATTGGGTATTGGTCGCCATCTGCTGTTCTCGTTAGAACTAAAGAAAAGAGACAGATGTAGGCTGTAATGATGCTGTTGATGGTGAAAAGAGCCTGTTCTAGTACCTGTCTGAGGTGCACCATGTCAGCCTTGTTGCCCACGAGGGTAAGAGGGATGTCGGGCTGCAGGCGCTGCTTGGCGCGCCGCACGTAGTTGAAGGACTCGCGGTCCGTAATGGAGTACACCAGGAAGAGACAGTCGGCCCATTGCGCTACTTCGTTCCCCGGTAGTTCTTCTATGCTCTGGAATAATTGATCGGTTACTACATTTAGTGGTTATTTCGAATGTTAACTAATTTTTTCTCCAAAAGGAACTGTTGAAAAGGGTAAATAATAATGGGTCTTACCTTAGGACAAGTATCTAAAATTTCAAATAAAATAGGTTCGCCATCTAATAATACTTCGTGCTTGTATTTGCTGTCTGTAACAAAAAAAGTAATTAAAAATATTTAGTTTTTGTTTTTAATAGTTTTTCAGTCTGAGTGTCTGTCTTACAAGGTACATACAGTTTGTTAGATAGATTTATGTTTTGTACTAAGACGTTAGACGTAAGATAGCCCAAAAAATTATTGGGGCTCTCATTAAAAACTCAAACTCGAAATAATGTGTGTCAAAATCAAAAGCTTTCAATTTTAGTAAAATCATCCAAAGTAAATTATTATTTGTCTGCAGATATGCGAGTTGTAAGTGTAATGTTTACATGCCAAGTGTGCATTTATCTTACCTTGTTGATGATCATATTCGCCTATATACCGCCTAGTAAGAAATCGTACCGTCAAGGCTGAAACAAATAGGCAAAATTAAAAACAGCTCCCTTAAATTGCCTTAAACTTTCAAGGCGAATGAAAAAGTTAGTAATCAAATTATCCGATAACCTACAAAGTACCTTTAAAAAAGTTAAATCACAAAGGGTCTAATTTAAAAGCAGTTTTTTACCGTCGAAACTTGCGAGATCGAAAACTTCCAGAGTGTGGTGGGCTTTAGCCAAGATTGTAGACCGCTACCTACCACGTTCGGGAAACTACGCAACATCTTTTCCTCCAAAACACCTCAGTGTCTGAAGACTAAAGTCTACAACCAATGTGTGTTACCAGTGATGACTTATGGTTCGGAAACGTGGCCTCTCACTATAGGCCTTATACAGAAGCTCAAAGTTGCACAGCGTGCTATGGATAGGGCTATGCTCGGTGTTTCTTTACGAGATCGAAATGAGAGAGGAGGAGGATTTTTGGCGTCGAACCTTAGACCAGGCATACGGCTAGGCAACGTAGTCATGCAGGAGGATACAAGGAAGAGGGGCAGCCACAGTAGGTAACACAGAGTCGTTCAGGTGAGTGCCAGGAAGAGGTGCAGCAACCGCAGTTAAGGAACGGCTGGGACGAACAAGGATAGGCGCATCAAGCTCGTAAGCCCTGATAGGGTTACACTGGTTGAGGTGGCCCTTTTCAAGACTTGGAAGCCTGTGGGTAACAAACCATTGGACATGGAGAGGGTCATTAATAATACTTTGCCGAACTTTAGCGCGAGAACGGTTTGTCCAAAACATATGAATTTGGTCTTATTCAATGCAGGATTAAGTGCCCTTCAACCGTCATGAAGACCACTTTTTGATAGGGTAAGTCCTTTACGCGGTATAACCGGAAAACCGAAAAAATGCCCCTTTCGGGGGCCCCCACCACTTAAGCACAACTCCGTCGAAGTCGAAAACTTAGGAGAGTCTTAATGGGCAACCAATGAAGCCATTAAAACAATAAAATCTTTTGTAGGAATTATTTCCGATTTAAAAGCTAATTCTACTGGACTATTAGTTTAACGGGAATATGTCGAATTCGGCCAGGCGTCTTCTAAAGCTTTTGATCTTCAGTATACCGACCGTAGCAGCTTTGGCGAAACTTAGCTTTGCAGTTCCAAGGCAAACATTTCTATTTGGATAATATTAATATGCGCATTGCACAAGGTACCTAATCAAATAAGTAGGTTGCAATTTCGCAAGCGTCCAATATTAAAACTTAAATTGATCAAATACTTTTGGTACTTATTAGAAATCAAGATACCTATTGATAGGATCCGAGTAAGCGCTGGACGATTGAATTAAAAAGTTATTTGTGTGACTCCATAATTATACATTTTCAATAACTTTCTTATAGCGATAAGATTCTAATATCTACAAATTCTACAGTATTTAGGGTTCTGTAGAGGTGCTAACTGACGCAAAACTGACGGCCAATGGGGCAGCAAGGTTCTGGGGTGGAGGCCACGTACCGGAAAACGCAGCGTGGGACGTCCACCCACAAGGTGGACCGACGACCTGTTAAAGGTAGCAGGATGGCGCTGGATCCAGGCCGCTACCAACCGTGCGATGTGGGAGTCATTGGGGGAGGCCTATGTTCAGCAGTGGACTTCCTATGGCTGAAATGATGATGATCATGATGATGATGAGAGGTGCTAATAAGACTCCGCTGTGTGTATTTCCAGTCTGTCTGCCATCTTTTGATCTGTTACATTAGATTGTGTGTGTAGTGTGAGTTTATATGGCCCATATAAACAGCAAACTATAAATTATAAGGCACCATTAAAAATATGTACATAATGATCACAGAAATAATAGCACCTGAACGTATGGGCATGTACAGAACAATACTTTCAACTTCGGCTCACCCTTGGCCAGTTTTCATGAAAGTCTATTATTGTTACACGAAATTGACAAGTGTTATTGAACAATATATTACTCAGGTTGACATCGTAAATGTCATCGTAAATATCGTCATGCATATGAGAAACATACATTAAATAGCCCATAATACATCCTAGTCTTGTCTTGTACGATGACCACAAGACAGTGTACACAGTAGTAGGTTCATTTACTATTTGAAATAGATCGCATAAAGATGAATCCCATCAAAAACAATACTTGTCAAAAAAACCAAGTCTCGCAACTCAGTTGTTCTACGGTAAAAAGTTGTGAGATCCATGTAATACCAAGTCCAGGCCAGGAAATCTTTAACGTTTTACATAAATTATTGACTTGGCCATCGCACTAAATAATTTAATTTACACGTGTTTTCATGCGATGGCCAAGTCAATATATTTATGTAAAACGTTAAAGATTTCCTGGCCTGGACTTGGTATTACATGGATCTCACAACTTTTTACCGTAGAACAACTGAGTTGCGAGACTTGGTTTTTTTGACAAGTATTGTTTTTGATGGGATACTGGACCGAAATTGAAAAATTTTACTCGACTTGGCGGTTGCACTACCGTGCCCCCAAATATTTTAGTTTTTCCTTGATTCATACACCAAACACTACTTATATTCCAAATTTGAAGCTTCTAGGTCTGCTAGAAGTACCTTAGAATTTTGATGATCGGTGAGTCAGTCAGTGAGTCAGTGAGTCAGTGAGTCAGTGAGTCAGTGAGTGACAAAATTAAGTAACTTTGACCCGTTATAATTCTTAAACTACTGGTTCAAATTGAATGAAATTTTAAATATACCGTGTCTTTACAATGCCTGCTTCTAGTTTTATCCACAACGAAGTTACAGGCAGTCGAAAATGGCCTGAATTGCTTCGAGAAAAGGATGGTACGGCCGTGCCGCTTTTTTGCTCGACTTGGTGGGGGCACTGCCGTGCCCCCAGATTTGATGCTTGACAGGATCTACACAGCTTGTCCTCCAATAAAAACTCAGTGAAAAGGTCAAGTTTTCTCGGGGGAAAATTAAATTAATCAAAAGAATACGTAGAAGTTCGAAGTTAAAGTTTCACTTCCCTCCAGAGCAAAATGTAATATATTATAAATTATGACAGAAAAGACTTACTTACACATTATGTACTATCGTCCACAGTTCCAGCTACCCACTTCCGGTCATGTCATGTCATTTGATGAGAGTGAGAGAAAAAACGGAAATGGTTAGCTGGAACTGTGGCCGATAGTACCTAATTATCTTTAAAAAATTAAAATGTCCGCTTATAATAATAATAAAAGCATGAAATTATGCTTATTTGTTAAATGTGGACCTACTCTTTATACTACAACTGTGTCAACATTTCTCACTATTTATACTGGACGCGGACGTTACAACGCCCGTGAAAAAACTTTATGAAAGTAAAATTAAAAAGTGACGATAAATGCTTCTAAATTAAACATGGTACTAAAGTAGATAGTACGTGGTAGATTACAAACAAACCGATACTGACTGACTGAGAAAGTTCTTACGATGTATGTACAAAGTAACTAAGCTTAAATGGGAACTCTATTGGAGTTTTGGAAAGTAGTAAAAAAATACTGTCTTTAACAATTTCAAAAAGTTCAACTTCAATATTTTGAAACTACCGGTGGATCGAAGTATAAATTGATTTCTTTCGTTGTAAAGTATTTAAATATCGGAAAAAGTTTAACAAACAAGATCAACAGAACAATCATATTTTTTTAGCAAAGACTTATTAGCAATTTGTATTGCACAAATTACTAATAGTCCCGTTAGCCCCTCGTGTTAAGGTAATTAAGCTTGTGTCAGTAGTTATATCTGATCTTATGTCGTGGTAATAAGATTATTTGTTGAAATTAAAGTCATAAATAGAACGAAACCTTTTGAAAACAGTTTAGGAAACACGTGCGCGCGCCTATCGTAACTAAACACAGGGTACAGTCACATGGTCAATAGAGTTAAGAGAGTTTTATCAATTTCTATACACTACAGTTGTAATAATTTTTGACCGTTAACTTACGAAGTGATCTTTAAAAAATAAAATAAGTTTGTAACTGTAAAAATTGTGAGTCGTTTTCACGTAACTCGCTTTGTCTATTTCACGTGAAAACAGTCACAAAAATGATGGGAAATTCACTGCAGTGCAATGCGAGTTTATGAACAGGAAAGTTTTGAAACCTTTTTTTAGAGTGGATGCTCAAATTCCTTGTTACCTCTCTTTTATGTCAAAGCTTTGACGTTTTACGTTTGTATCTGCGTGACTGTACCGCTTGGTTTATGTCACCGGTCGAGTGCGTCAGATTCGAATAGTTTTTACACAGAAATAGAGTACCGGTGCTCAAATTTTCAGCTTTACATTTATCATCGTTCGTTCGTTTCAGCCGAAAAACGTACACTACTGGACAAAGGCCTCCCCCAAGGATTTCTACAAAGACCGGTCCTGCGCCGCTCGCATCCAGGCACCTCCCGCGACCTTCACCAGATCGTCGGTCCACCTAGAGGGAGTAGGGTTGCCAGGTCCAAAATCACAAAAGCTGGACTTTGTGATTCATTTGGCCGGACATTTTACCCTAAAAGCCGGACATGTGACGGTCGCTGTTTCAAAAGTAAAAGAGTAATTTGTAATTTAAATATATCATTTTAAAGGTATTTTTAAGAGCTACAATTGACACAAACTCTCACGACGCTACATAATATAGATTTTGAAATATTTTAATTTATACATTTTAACTCAGTATTATTGAAATAATATCTCAAAATATACACAACTAAAACGCCGGTATGGCTACCTTAACGGCGTTTAAGTTTTGGATCTTGAATAACTTTGATACATTTGTAAAAGGAGTTTCTAACTAATAATTATACTAAACTTTAATGCCGTTAAATAGTTTAACGACGTTTTAGTTCGGTAAAACTATTATTTTTAACGTGAAAATACTTGCCTTAAATGCAGCTAATGTTAGCTAACGTCATTTAAGTCTAGTATTAACACATAAATTACGAAACTATTGGTATGCCTGTTTGATTCGTTTTGATTACAAGACTAAAATGCAGTTAAGAACAAAACCTTTCACCA